AAATGCTAGACAGCAGGCAGTACAAAGTCGCAAAAGTTATAATTAACTCTCAAATGAACTTTCCAAAATGCTCTGTTTTGTTGGACTTTGGAAGGAATCTTTAGCAAATTATATGGAACGTCAAAGTATATTTTGCTAGATTAGATTCGTTACCTGGTACAAGATATTGCAAAAAGATTTTTAACGAACTTAAATGATCAAAAATGAATATTTTAATGATATTAACGGCATATTCCAGTTCACTGAAACACAACCATTATATACATGGAAACGTCAATATAAATATGTTTAATAAGTTTTTTTGGTAGAGAAGCTTGTAATAAGCTTAAGTCCGAAATCCTTGAAAAGCGAAGCCTCGATGATCACCGTTCATTTTACATTACACAATATAAAAATAAGAAAATGTGGTATAATTGTGAATCAGACATCTCTCCACCAAGCACGACAGCTCTATTTTACAAACGTAGATGATTTTTGGGCCTCTCGTCTAAAGTTTCTGGCTAGAACAAACTGTCTTCCATTGAATGCGGTTTTATTCCGCATGAAATTGAAAGATAGTGATACTTGTCAATTATGTTGTATTGAAGAATCTGTTTTGCATGTATTGTTTGGATGCCAGGCTTATAATGATATTCGAGAACGTTTCTTTTCTGATTTGAACGATGTACTTCTCAATGCAGGAACCAGCGGGTTTTTCTCAGAGTTTCCTCGCTTTAATAAACTTCAATTTATAATCATCGGCGACATAGTCTTTTTGTCCGTTGATGATATCAGAAAAAAGGTTGATCAAATGGGCGAAAAATATCTAACCTCAGTCATTAAAGCTCTCGATGAATTGTTGCATGTTAATGTCTAAATTAATTTATATGTTTGAAAGTTTGAAAGTGTGCCAAATTTATGTGAATGTATATTTTAAGAAAAAGCCCGTCTAAATATATGTGTAATCTTTGGGTCCTACTAAAAAGCGCCCGGGGAAAAAAAAAGCGCCTGGGGAAAAGAAAAGGCGCCCGGGGAAAATATATAGATATTGTATTGGCATGAAACAACTTTGTGTCGATAAGTTATGCACATTGATTTTTTTTAAATTTTAGACAAGTATTTTGCAAATTCAGATAATAGACATTTGTAATAAAGCACAAAAATAAGTATGAATGTTTCAATTTTAACAATAATATATGAATACTATTTCAAAAGACAGATAATCATGAATCACAGTTTATGCTGAAGATTTATAAAATGTTAGACATCAAAAGACATGTTTTTCAAAAACGATATCAAAATGAAAAATGCAAAAACAACTTAAATTTCACAGATAAATATTCATTTTATAAAATTAAAAGAGTTACACATTATTTAGGAACGATAAAAGTGACACGCACATGTATATCAGCATCAGCAAATAAAACAATTATACTATGCATGTTAAAAGCAGGTGTTTGGTATAAAACAAATAACATTGAATCACGGATAAACATTACAAATCGCATGCCGCGATTTAAACAGTTTTGGTTTTATAAAAAAAATTATAATAAATCAGCAAATAAAGCAGTACTAGTACTATACATGTACCGTAGTTAAAACAAGGGGACAAAAAGCAGGAGTTTTGGTTTAAATTTAAAACTAAGCATTAAAACACTGATAAGCATAGCCATTAAAACAGTTTTAGTTTTATAAAAAGATAAAATAAATCTATATCAGCATCTGCATATAAAACATTTACTATTGTTAAAATAGCATTAAAAGTGAAGCACTATGCATCTTACTACCTATTCATACAAACTGTCAACTACATTACTGTTCATAACAAATATAATACAATGTACATTAAAAGTTATGTTGAAAATTTCAAGGTAGTGGTCTTGTTGGTACGAATACGCTTCTTTTGGTTTGGCTTCCTTGCGGTGGTTGGAGTTTTAGGAATCTTTAATTTTCCGTCAGATGATTCCACAAAATTGTCTCTCGGTCTGCTTAGATTCCTAAACTTTCTGAAAATGGCGTCCTTTTCTTTTGCACATTTCGGCGACCATACCACTTCTGTTACTTGAAATTTTTTAGCCCAAGGAGCCAACGCATAGTTCCCCTGGTCATGTAATGCTCGGCGTATATCTCGATATTGTAATTGAACAATTTTGTGTAGTTTGTCTATAAGGTCCGGGAGCTTAACGGCTTTCCAATTTGTCGATAGTTTTAAAATATTATTCATGGAGTTGCATGAATTGTTCTTCCAGTTAATTGGGGCAATGTCTTTTTGTGTCGGTTTTCAGACATAGCTCTTCAGAGATGATGTATTACTGCTAAAATAACGTTGAAACGCGAGAACACTGTGCTCATACTTCGCTTCCAACTCCATTGCCTTTAGGTTTATATTTACTTACTTACTTATATACAATTTTGAAATCTAAAATGTAAAAGTGCAACAACACTATCTACACACTTTAGATGTAGCATCGTACATATCCCCCTTTATATAAAGGACAAAACAAGCAATGATCATTTTTTTTTTATTCAGGAAAACATTTATTGTTATAAAATATTATTATTTTATTCACTCGGGCGCTTTTTCTTTTCCTGGACGCTCCCGGGCACTTTTTAGTACATTGTAGGACCGTAATCTTTTAATAATATTCAAGATATCGCCCTGCACTTTTACGGTTTCCTTTATTCATTTTATTTAGAAATGTTTATTGTCAAAAAGGTTGAATCTTAAAAGAAATACTTTTACTCTTATATTGACATTTTCAATTTTATAATGATGTGATTTTTTACATACACTGTATATAATGTATAGTTTGTATGACGCAAACAATAATACCCCACTGGTGTTTGCCCCCCCCCCCCCCCCCCAGATGTAAAGGGGTTGTTTAACGTTCAGTGGCAATTATTACATGCATGTACATATCAGGACGAATGAATATAAACCCTAATTTGTACTAGACCGGCATGGTGATCCGGAGTTTAAAGTGCTAAATCCTAAGACAACAGTCGGCAGGACAACATATCACCTTATACCCCGACACACTATTCTGACTCCGGTCCTACAAGTCTTTGCTCTTACTACTTAATGCTATTGAGGAGAAGCAGCTATCAATACCATTTTGTTAGTCTTGAATTGGTTTGTCTAGAATGGAGTTCGACCCACGACCCTCCCCCTCCGCACTCGAGTCAGTCACCCAACATGTAGAGTACTTTATAACTAAGAGATGTTGGGTATACATGAATGAGAGGAGATGTGGGTATAAATGAATGGTAGGAGTTGTGAATACATGCATAAAAGGAGATGTCAAGTACACTTGCAGAAGAGATGTTTGGTTTGGTATATGTTTATGTATGAGATGAGATTTTGGGTATACATGAAAGAGAGACATTGGTTATACATGAATGAGAGGAGATGTAGGGTTGATATGAATAAAGAGGAGATGTGGGTTATACACAAATGAGCAGAGATGTAGGCTATACATCAATAAGAGGAGAATCCGAGATGTAGGCTATACACCAATAAGAGGAGATGTGGGATTTATTTGAATAGATGCATGCTGGGTACACATGACTGATATACATGAATGAGAGGAGCTGTTGAGTATAAATGAATAAAAGAAGATGTGGGGTATAAATGAATTAGAAGAGATGTGGTTTACACAAAAATTAGAGAAGTGGGCTATACACAAATGAGAGGAGATTTTTGGGTACACGTGAACCAGAGGAGATGTGGGGTTTAAATAAATAAAAGATGTTAAACATGAATAAAAAGCAAAACTCTCAAAATAGTTAAAAATTTGTAAGGGGTTCCGCGGAACCCAGTGTCTTGTTTGCTATTGCTGCTGACAGTGTAAAAGTGTAATATTGACTTTAAAAAGTGAGTCCATTTATCAGTAAAATTCAGAAATTTAAAAAAAAAAAATATTTTCTTTAGATGCTGTTTCTTGTTATTGAAGATTAGCTTCTGTCCAAGTTTCATAACAATCGATGAAGGTTTACAAAAAAATTTAATCCCAGACTGTCTGTAAATGTTAACTGTAAAATAAGTCTATCTATCAGAAAAAAAAACTGAAAATGAAAAAAACATATTTTCAAAAGTTTGCTTCAGACATTATCTCTTAATCATAAAAAAAGCTTTGCCAAAGTTTCATAAAATTCTATGAAGTGAAGCTTTGACAAAGTGACTGACTTGTAACAAACTTTAACCCCAGACTGTGTCAACTTGGTAACTATAAAAAGACTAAGTCCATTTATCAGTAAAATATTAAAATTTTAAAAATTTTGCTCTGGATACTGTATTTTGGTCATAAATAAGCTTCTGTCTAAATTTCCTAAAATTCCTTGAAGGTTTGAAAAAGTTATTGATGATTGAAAAACTTAACCTCAGACTGAATCTGAATTTTTATTTGTAAAAAAACTAAGTCCATTTATCAGTAAAATACGGAAAAATGAAAATAAATATTTTCAAAATTTTGCTCTGGATACTGTATTTTGGTCACAAACAAGCTTCTGTCCAAGTTTCCTAAAAATCCATTAAGGTTTGACGGAATCTAAGATCGCTGTCTCGCTAACGCGACATAATTGTTGCAGGCTTGACAAAAATCATAATTTAAGGGCAATTACTCATAGATGGAGTTAACCAAGGGTTTGGTCATATTGGCATCTTTTCAGTACTTGTATTGCTGATCATTTTTGCAGTTTACAGTTTCTACATACCTATTATATTTTTCAAGATAAGTTAAAAATCACCAATTGAATTGTTTTATATTTTTCATGTCAGGGCCTTTTAAAGTTGACTATACAGTATGGGTTATTCTCATTGTTGAAGGCCGTATGGTTGCCTATAATTGCTTACATCCACTTTATTTGAACTTTGATGGATAGTTGTCTTATTGGCAATTATATCACATCTCTTTATTTTTAAATTAAGGGCAAAAACTCCTATTGTGAGATTTTTTTTGCTGATAATATTTGCTGTTTTCAGCAAAAGAATGTTGGGGGGTTAAACATTGTCAACAAAAGTGTTGAGATTAGCACTTCTTTATTTATTTCACAATGTCATGAAGAATCTCAGCATAATAATGATTTGCAATCTCAACCACAGTTTACAGTTAAACAACACATCAAACATAATAATGATTTACAATCTCAAACACAGTTTACAGTTAAACAACACATCAAACATAATAATGATTTACAATCTCAAACACAGTTTACAGTTAAACAACACATCAAACATAATAATGATTTACAATCTCAAACACAGTTTACAGTTAAACAACACATCAAACATAATAATGATTTACAATCTCAATCAGTTTACAGTCAAACAGCACATCATAATTAATCAGTAAAAATCAGAACTACCACAAGTCCATCATCAGGAGAAGTTTTTTTTCTTTTTGGACATCTGGTACTACCTACTCTGTTAGTTTGTATATGTATCATCAAAAATGTTTCATTAACTGAAATGTCTCAATGTAACTCAAACGAAGGTGTCAATTTCATGAAAAACAAGTATCAGTAGTCCCAAACTCCTACAAGTGATACTTGGGGGTAATCACTATGAAATAAATGATGATGGCCCATTAAATGAATAATTTTATGAGATCCTGTACTGGAAAAAACATGTTTATGTATATTCAATATTTTACACATAAGTTTTACATTTCATTATTGCAAATACTGTTAATTATTGTCTCGATTACTATGGTTATAGAAAAAAAATTCATTCATATCTGATCTCTAAAGAAGAAGAAAATAAGTCATTTGATTTCATTTGTGACCTAATCATAAAGATCAAATAATTACTAAATTCATCAGAGCAAATAATCTTGGTTATCTTTTGTCATACCTTATGTGTTTTTTAATTATAATTAATAAACATTAAATACAAGAAATGACGATTTTTTAAACCAACAAAAATCAATAGGAATAAAAAAATCTTACATGTAAAAGTTCTAACTATTAAAAAAAATTTAGCTTTGATTCATTTTGTCTGCACATATTTGATAATAATCATTTTGAGTTACCCATTAGCAATGCTGTACAGCACTAGCTTCACCTAAAGTTTTAATACTTCATCACTAACTCTGTACTGCATATTTTGACATATCAAACATTTGTCTTGAATACAAGATTCTCTCAAAAAATTACAAATAACAACAGAATAAACTGACAAATAAACCCAAACTAAGTTACACAAAAGGCATTTGTATCTTAATGGAAAATATAATTGCTAGAGAGATCCAGATGAAAGCAACTTTGAAAATACAGGAACTAAGAACATTGTGTTCCTTTTGTCATCTTATTAGTTGTTTTTGATTTGATGAGTGGCACCTTTTTGCAACTGATTTTATATTTTGTTCTTATGTTGTACTATTTTGGACAACTATGTTCAACTCCTCACATTCTTTTTATGCCTGTCCCAAGCCAGAAGTATGTAGTTCAGTGGTTGTTGTTGGTTGCTGTCTGCTATAATTGTTTTGTTTAAATAAGACAGTTGGGCTTTTTCTTTTGAATTATTTCACAATTTAATATCTTGGGACTTTTTATAGCTTACTATACGGATTGGGTTCTCCTCATTGTTGAAGGCCATAGAGTGTAGTTGTTAACATCATGGTCCTTTGGTCTTTGGTGGATAGTTGTCTCATTGCGATCATACCACACCTCCTTTTAAAAAAAAAGAGTATCAAATGAATGTCTATAGATTCATAACAAGATGAAACTACTTTCAAAATACTTGAAAAATAAACAGAATGTCTATAGCTTCATACTGACTCCATTACATTCATGGTGTACATATCATATTAGCCAATATGATCAATACAAAAAAAACGATAAAACATACAACTTCATGATAACAGCAGATCAGTGTTATTCAGTATATTTTACAAACTTCAGAAACACTCTCTAAAAAGTTGATTTCTGTAGGAATCTTGTTGCTATGACCAGGTAAAGCAATAGGATTCAGATGTCTTACTAAAAATCTATGATAAATCTGATCATACATGATGAATGAATAAGTACTGGAAGTTCAAATATTCATCATTAGAGGCATCTGTTAAGTGACTTTTGCTTTGTATCATAAACAATGTTATCCTTTTCCACCTTGAACAATGTAGTCAACAAGTTCTTGTATACTTCCAAATTCATTTCTCCCAGTTGATTCCTTTTTAGGTAATTTTGGTGTTCCCTTTTCTACCTTGCTGAAAAAGTCTTTTAGCTGAAAAATAAACCTGTATAATTTAGTTAAAATAAACATTGACTCAATCAGTAACTATGAAATATGTGACAATTTTTGAATGATCATGATGATAAGATCCTACCTAAAATTGTGTTTCAATGAGAAAGGGCTACATCCAAAATGAAGATATCTTGTCATTGGTCAGATCCCCTCCCCAGAGGGTATTAGACAATTCTATTCTATTTCTGATGTTGTTTTTTTAAATTATATTTTATGGTTTCTTTATTCATTGTTATTGGAAAATGTTTCAAAAATTAAACAAGAATACTGGTACATATAATATGGATATAAGGTGTGGATCAAGTCAAAATCTTTGTATTTAAGGAGCTCCATAACTCAGTTTCAGTAAATAAAAATAATTATGGACATCCTGAAATATTTTACAACCTCCTTAATTTGATCTCAGGACCTCCATAATATGATTTAAAGACCTCAACAAATAAAAGTTTAGAATGGCTTTTATTTCAGGACATCCTAATCCAATTTCAGGATATCCTTAAATATTTATGGAGCTTCACATTAATTTCAGGACGTGTCCAGACTTTAATACTTCATAAACTCTTTTATACCCTTATTCAAACAGTTAAACTGGATGACAGTTGAAAAAAAAATAAAACAGCACAAGTTTGTGTTGACATTGCTGTTCATGGAATGTTTGATTTGGGAACCTTGCGCAAGGGGTCTCCTGTCTTGACAGGTCACTTTTGGTGTTTCCCATGAATGACTGCTTTAACAGAGGTTTGATTGTAAAAAAAAGACAAACATGGAATGTCCAGCTATCATAACTTCTGCATTACAATGAGCTGCACAACTTGTAGATGCCAACGTCACTGCATAATGTGTCTCATCTTGAGTTACATCAAGGATACTATGGTGATAGACAAAAACTGTGTTACTCACGGCCTCATCTATTTGAAATGCTCCAAATCATAATCTGTACTATCAAATAGTTAAAATACTCATAGAATGTAATTTTTTGGCTTTTGGAATCGTAAGCAAAAAAAGTGTTTGTAATGACAAATGTGTAAACAATTGAGTTTTGCCAGTAAAAACAACTTACATTTGAAGCACCAGATACTTTATAGGCTACAAAAAACACCAATCCAACTCCAGATACTGAAAACAGTGTTGCCAATGCTAAAGCTCTTACTCCTAAAGATGAACCTGACACATTTTGTCTACCTTTTGATATTCCCTACAAATAAGAATAACAACTATTTTTTTACATCATTCCTCCTCCGAAACCTTACAAATTATTGCTAATTTTTTTTTCTTCAAAATGTTCCATTCCTTTCTTAAATTGATCTGTTTAATTTTGACTGAAGCGATCCGTTTACCTATAATATGAGTTATTACCATGTTTTGTGTTCAATATTAATGGTATGTTAGTGTAACTTAGAAACCCTAGGTCATAGAGACCAAGAGTCTTTTTTATATGATTTATTTGTTCAATACCAAGGAAGATCAAAGGTCAAGGTCATGTTCTAAATTTTGTACTTTTGACTCGGACTTCTCTTGAACTGAATTTTAATGTGCGTATTGTTATGCGTTTACTTTTCTACATTGGCTAGAGGTATAGGGGGAGGGTTGAGATCTCATAAACATGTTTAACCCCGCCGCATTTTTGCGCCTGTCCCAAGTCAGGAGCCTCTAGCCTTTGTTAGTCTTGTATTATTTTTAATTTTAGTTTCTTGTGTACAATTTGGAGTTTAGTATGGCGTTCATTATCACTGAACTAGTATATATATTTGTTTAGGGGCCAGCTGAAGGACGCCTCCGGGTGCGGGAATTTCTCGCTGCATTGAAGACCTGTTGGTGGCCTTCTGCTGTTGTCTGTTCTGTGGTCGGGTTGTTGTCTCTTTGACACATTCCCCATTTCCATTCTCAATTTTATTTGCTTGTTATTGAAACTCTTTAGAAACTGTAAAAGTTATTGACATAAGGTTTTCATCAAATTTTAAGTTACCACTTAAGGCAACACCAATAAATTGGGATTAAAGGACTCTGGTGACTTTTTTAAGGAGTTTTCTCTGCTTAAATATGTAGGACTCTGATCTGCAATGGTACTTTAAACCACACTGGTGAAGCTAAGAGCGATAGTTGGATGCTAATAATGTTATTCATTTTCTCATGTCGATGTGGAAGTCGATTTGTTTGATAGCAGCTTTTCAAGTTTTTGAGTAAATCACCTAGAGTATAACCCATTTAATTTAAAATAGTCATGATAAATAGTCAGTACATTTGCAGTCATAACTGAAACTGAAACATGACTTGTGTAATCAGATGGTAATGACTTACTTTAACAAACATGTCAGGGTCTTCTTTTTTTGTCCTTCCCAGAGCAAGACTGAAGCCACCTATCAAAGATACTCCAGTTAAACCAGTAAAAAACATAATTTCTGAAAATAGGATAAATGAAATATTCAACCATCATTCAGTCATTGTCAGTATGTGTAAAATTGATGATAAAAATCAGAGTAACAGTAACTTACACTGAGGGAAGTTTTCTCTGTTGAAATTCTTTTCCAGGCTCACCTGATATTTCACCATGATTGAGTCAAAGTTATTCAAAAATACAGAAAATAACAAATGAACTACTTTACTGTGTCAATCACACACTGACATCAAATGTGAAGTAAAACAAGTGAAACTGTGAGCTACTGCTCACTGATGATACCCCCACCCAAATACTTGACAGTAAATAGGAAGTTGTTGAGTGATGAATCTGAAAATGCATCACACGGTATAGCTGACTTATATAAACCCTGAAACCAAATTTCAGAAATCCTTATGATGTAGTTCCTGAAAAAAATGTGACGAAAAATATTCATGGGACGGACGGACGGACAGAGGTAAAACAGTATACCCCCACCTTTTTAAAGTGGGGGTATAATAAACAAATCCCAAATATACATGATGTTCCCTTACACGTTTTATGGCATTGCATAATTTCTGCATTTAAACATGCTTATAACAAAGCAGATTATTGGTAAAATATCAGTATGTCAAACTACTTTATTCTTTTACCTTTTTTTTTGGCAAATCTGACTTTAATACAATCTGAATCATCATGCATTGCTTTGAAACTGACATTTTACATGACTAATCTTTATGCTAGAAGGGAATCTGTGACACTTTACCTGAGAATTTGTAACACTTGTTTATTCATGTCATACAACAATCACTTTTTCTATGTTGCATCAGACGTATTCTATTATGATATCAAAAGTTATGGGGAATGTTTGCAATGTTCCATAATCATGATAATGGCGAACAAATACCAATAAGGTGTATTCTCTAATGTTATTATTCTTGTCGAAAAATCTGTAAATCTTCTTAATTTTGATTCATACTAATTTCTAGTTCTTTTCTCAGGAATATGTTGCGCTGGCAGACCCAATGTCAATCAGTGTAAATGATGTCATTGAATAATAAACTTTTACTGTGACTTAACCACATAAGTGTTATGACATAGACCATGTGGAAAATATGGAAATTCTGAATTCTAGTCACTTCGGCACCTGGTCAAATTGGCACCCCACATACATGTAGTCAATTCGGCACCTAGTCAAATTGGGACCTGGTTAATTTGGCACCCAAAGGCACTCATGATGAACATTATGTTTTGCAAGTCAACTATTGAAGATTCTTTTTTTTTTCCCATATTTTTTTTTAATATTTTCTCTAATGTGTCAATGTACATTTGACACGCATAACAGAAGTTCCAATGGAAACTTTTTTATAACCAATGCCATAATATCTGTTCCTATTGGAACTTATACTATAAAGAAACTTCTATTTCATGACAACTTATTTATTTTGTTGATGAATTTTGTAAATAGGCCACGCACGGGACGCAACAGTAAATAATCATCAGCCTGCTTGATGGTTTATTGTATATCATGTACTGTATTACGATGCTAGATTAAAACTGACGACTCACGAGGAAAGGTAATACCCGGCCACCGAAAGCTTTATTATTGTGAAGCCTAGGTGGTCGAGTGGTCTAGCGCGTCGGATACAGTGCAGGCGATTTGGTGTCACGATATCTCAGTAGCATGAGTTCGAATCCCGGCGAGGTAGGAACAAAAAATTTGCGAAAGCAAATTTACAAATCTAACATTGTTGGGCTGATGTTTAGACGAGTTGTATATACAGAATGTACACAGCCATGCATCACCATCACTGTTGGTGATCTAATGGATAAATCTGTTGTAGAGTTGTCACTGGTTCAGACGTACTTATAAATATAATTATTTTTGTGACTGTATCTTGCATTTATTTGTAGGATCCTTTACAATAGATATTTCAGCTGATCTGTAACAATTCCATCTTCATGCCTTATATATCATGTACTGTATTACGACGCTAGATTAAAACTGACGAGGAAAAGTAACACCCAGCCACCGAAAGCTTTATTATTGTGAAGCCTAGGTGGTCAAGTGGTCTAGCGTGTCGGATACAGTGCAGGCGATTTGGTGTCACGATAGTTCGAATCCCAGCGAGGGAGGAACAAAAAATTTGCAAAAGCAAATTTACAGATCTAACATTGTTGGGCTGATGTTCAGACGAGTTGTCTATATATATATATATATATATATAAGAAGAACTACACATTGCTAGTTAACATACAAAATGGGTGCAAATGTTATTCATTTTATATAAGGCAGGAAATGCAGAAGAAAAAAAATTAAATTACAATGATAAAATGTTTTTTTATCCTCATATGTGGATTAAACAACAGCTTGGGTAAGGACTTCTTTGTTTAATTCTAATGGGTTTTTTTTATTATAAAACATCAAAAACTACATAAAAATGGTAAAACAACAAACAGGTTATTACAAGTTTAAGTTTTTGCAAAAAAATATGTTTAAACAAGTGAAACTGCGAGCTACTGCTCACTGATTATACCCCCAGCCCAAATATGCATTTGTTGTTGAGTGATGAATCTGAAAACACATCACACGGTAAAGCTGACTTATATAAACCCTGAAACCAAATTTCAGAAATCCTTATGATGTAGTTCCTGAGAAAGATGCAACGAAAAATATTCATGGGACGGACGGACAGACAGAGGTAAAACAGTATACCCCCACTTTTTTAAAGCGGGGGTATAAAAAAACGAAAAACTATTCTCCCCATACCTCAAATAAATAAGAAAGAAAAAGGTAAGAATAATATTAGATGCCGAATTGACTTTGTGCCAATTTGACCTGGTGCGGATACCACTTTTTCTATAGGTGCAGAATTGAACAGGTGCCGATTTAACTTGTACCCGAAATGTCAGGGAAAATTTTAGTCCAAATGTTATAGGAAGGTGTCACAGAAAAAAAAATTAAAAAGCCGATCAAGAGGTCACAATTATAAATTTGGAACTGGAAGTTAGGAAAATTCATGAATGTGAAAGTCGTCTATTTCGCAGTGGGCATGTTGTCTGACAAAGTGGGCGACTTGTCATGAACAGTTGCCTTGATGATTACAGGTAGTGAGTTGTTAATGGGACGACCTTTCCAGCTTTCGAAAAGACCTAAATAAATATTCTTATCTCCCCTTGATGTCCAATGATCATAAATGTTGTTTTTTTTCCAATTACCAGTTACTTAAGGGATACAAATTGATTGTCAAAGGAGCAAATAGGGATCTTCAATCAGATTATGCCTTTGTATTTGCTGTTCTTCTCTTTATCATTATGCACGGAAGAGTTGCCTGTGCTGATTACTTCTTTCTCATCCATGGGGGCAGCCATTTTGACCGGGAAGGTCATGTTGTTAAAACATGTAAAAAATATTAGTTATCATTATTGTATAAATTTATCTGGTTTAAAAACTTATAAACATAAAAGAAACGTAACGGTATAAGTAAATAAAAAAATGCCAATTTCTTAAAATTATTACGAAATAATACGCATGCGTGAAGTAATTATGTTCATCAACAAATAGCTGGTTTCCTGTGTTACTACCGAAAATGTGAAAAAATCTTAATAATAACAATGTTTTGATTGAAAACTTACAACTTTCTTTATCATATTATGAAAGAGATATTATTAGAATAATGACGTTGGCAAAAATGTTTCTATTTTTTCATTATACAAATGAATCAAACGTACATAGCAGTTTCAACTGATTCGCCCTCCGTCACACTGGATAATAAATCGATCAAAATGACCAAAAAGACACGTAAATGGGAAGTGTTCCCTGGGAAAAATAAATTCTGCTGTAATGGCAGAATAATGATGGCCAGACAGACGGGAATATTTTATTTTACATGTACTCTTATTGTTGTTACTTGCGGACTCTTCTTCGGATTCGAGTAAGTACATGAAATTTGCATGTTACCATTTTATGACCCTGGCCCCTTTAATTTGTACCTTTGTCTTTCAGGTCAAAATAAGACATAGGTTTTAAAAGACCCATCATTTTAGAAATATCCTGAAGAGAATTTCTCCTTGCATAATGTTATGAATGGAAATACTTATATAAACAGGCATGACAGGGCTCAACATTAACGGCTGTCAGATTGCCAGGGACGAATAAGTCATCATAGGCAAGTTAAAGCTGCAGTGTAGTCTGATTGGCAATTAAAAATTAAAAGTAAAAAAGAGTGCAAAATACAGAATGTAGTCAATTTGTATGAATTGTCATATAAACCTAGGATTTGTATATATAGTACAAATCCTTGTATAAATTGACTTGTCCCCTGAAATATCAGTATTTATTTTATTACTGTCCCTTCCTCTAGACATTTTTAGGGTATTAACCAATCAGAGTGTGTTTCTGTTGTTGAAGTTAAATTTGACCTAGGTATTTTAGGAAAACTTATCCAAGACAGAACATAAATTCAAGGTCTTCCAAATTAAATCTACATGTATCATCAATTTTTGAAACCTTGAACAAAAGTGAAAAGAAAGAAGATTAGACAATCATGACAATATATATAAATAAATTTAACCAAGCAATTTATGAGTTTTCTCTTTCTCAATGCTCAGTACTATTTCATTTAAGCATGTCATGTGTATGTAGAGAAAGAGTTTCTGTGGGTAAAAATATACGAGAGTGGCATCTGAGTATCAATCCTAGGTTAAGCACAGAGATCTGGGAAAATTGTTTTATTCACAGTGTTTCAATGGAGAGAATGCATATAACATTTTGATATCATGAACATGATGAATATAGCATTCCTGGCCCCCTGTGATTTAGGTACATGTAGCACAGAAGCTAACTCAGGGAAAAGTTTTTCTGTGGAATACTGGAAAAACAAAGCTGAACATTTTGCTGAAAACAATGAAATAAAAAATCAAAAAAAGAGGAATAGGAGAATTATTGACTCCTGGAAAAAATTCTTTGATGAAATTGCAGATTGATTGGATTACAGTTTATTTATATATACTTCAAAGGACAAACAAATTAGTCATGGCAAATCAGGCAACAAACATTAAACACAGAAAAATACCAAAATATTATGTTTATATGTTATAACTTAAACTATATATTCTTCTTTAAATTTGCTCACAGGTCACCGGTGAACTGGTGTGATTCAAGTTGCTTGGTAAAATACTTTCGGCAATCCATTTTGTTTCATTACTTTTGAATTGCATTTAGACTTACCTGATTTTATGTCCAAACTTAATTTGGACAAGTAGTTTTCTCTTTCGAACAAGAAATACATCATAGTGACTTGCCTGAAGGGCAAGTTGTTCAAAATGAAATTAATAAAAATATGAAATATATGGGTATTGACTATTCCTTACAATGAAATGGAGGAATGTAATAATTTCCATCAGAACACACTTTTATTTGTAAGGGTGAAAGTTCTGCCATGGTTAAATTTTTATCCATAGAGATCCCTGAGGTGTGTGAAATACAGGAAGACCTTATCATTATTTTGGAACCTGTGACACTAAATTTTATTTTTGAACATAATTGATTTATTACTATTTGTGTATTTCGTGGGTAAAGGATTAACCACAAATGAAATTTAAACATGTTAAACGTTTCATTAAGTTCAAATTTGCTATAGGCTTGTATGCTGCCTGTGGAAAAACCTCAAATTTGTCAATCTGCAAAACTTGGTATCCATGAAAATAAATGAATCCAAAGAAACTGAAAGTATGATGTACTTATATTCAATTAAGAGTTCTTGATCTGCAATAACAATTAAACATTTTAATATTATATACATTATTTGCAGTTGTCCATATTTAGCTGTGCATGTGACTGCCGCAATTCCAGTGGTTGGAGGGGCATTGTTTATCTTTGTCATGGCAACTCTCTTCAGAACTAGTTTTAGTGACCCAGGTGTTATCCCAAGAGCCTCACCAGATGAAGCAGCTGATATTGAAAAGAAAATAGGTATTTGTACTTACATTTATTAATTAATGACTGATGGCTTCTAGTCTATAACTGTAATAGTCAGAAATGGTGGATGTACTAGATACCATGCAGAGGTTGTGTCAAATCATTTTATTTTTTGTTGCTGTTATATTTACATGTATTATTTGTATTTGTCACAAGTATCTTGTTAACTTATATAACAAGAAAAACTTGACTTTAATAAATCTTTAATGTGTATTTTAGAACTTATTAATGTTACACAGTTAAGTCAAAATAAATTGTATCACACCCAAGGTTTAAAGGTATATTCTCAAAAGTGGCTCTTGCCTTTCGCATTTTAGCCATTTCAATGATATGAAATGTCCTATTTATTAATTCCTTACAACATGTACAGTACCATGCATGTATGATGAAGGTGTGTCAATAAATATGTTGGAGAGATCAAACCACACAATAATTTTAGATTAAGGTTCAACAAGTCATTATGTGGATATACTGTCTGAGCTTCATAAGGATACATGTACTTCTGATGACTGATGTATGTATGAATAAAAAGACCTGTTAAAAAAGTCAGACAGCAACCACAAAAGACATCACATTCATACATTTGTATGTTCAGAGGTCAACATGCAATCTTTATCGGTATATCTAGATGTGTTTAGAGGTCAACATGCAGTCTTTATCAATATATCTAGACGTGTTTTGTTTCTTAACATCAGAAAATCTATTTATATTGAAAGGTTTGTCTTTATAAGGTCAAGGTTACAAAATACATTGTAAGTATGTACTGTACACATGTACATATGCCTTGATTAAACTTAAGTGTAAAGCCAGGGGGGACTTATGCTCATCAATTTTATTATCCATTGAATTTTAAGAGAAAAAATCATGTTTTTGTCAATAAATGATCAAATACATTCATGACATTTATGTCGTACTCAAGTATTTTTTGTTGAGCCTGTGATGAAAGTTGTGGAGGCAAGGCATGTACAAGTAGCAATCCTTCATTCTGTCATCGACACTTGGGTTTGGTCTGTGGTTTAATTTTTTTTAGACATTATAACTTTTCTAAACCCTGAATGTTATGAAACTTGGACAGTAGCTTTTGGGGTAAAATAAAGACAAATTTAGAATTTCACTAAACTTTACACCCACCCATCGGATGACTTACCTGGTCTTAAGTATGTTTTTAGAATGTTTCATGAGACAGTTCAGAAATTCAGACATAAAAAATATTAACATGTTTGATAAACCTTCATGGAGTTTTTTTTAAAACTTAGACAGAGGTTTCTTCGTGATCAAGACACAGTTACCAGAGCAAAATTTTGAAAGTTTAAAAAAAAAAATTATCGATGGATTGCATCAGTTTTTTTGCACTAATCAGTAAAATTCTAGGGTAAATTTATTTAGATAGTAATAATTTTTTAAAACCAACTTGGAACAGTTTGAAAAAGGATTTTTATGCCCCTGTCGTGGCGGAGGGGGCATTAAGTTTTACCCTTGTCCGTCCGTATGTCTGTCCGTACGTCCCAAAGTTGGTTTCAGTTCTTTAACTTAAGTTTGCCTCAACCAAATTTTATGAAACTTATACACAATTCTGATTACCACAAAACACAGATCAAGCTTGAATTTTAGTGGCGTCACTTTAACCGTTCTAGAGTTATGCCCCTTTACAAATGGAAAAATTGCTGAATTTTTCGTTTCCGTTCTCTAACTTTAGTTTGCCTTAACCAAGAATGAATTTTGGTGGTGTCACTTTTACCGTTCTAGAGTTACAAATGTATGCCTGTTTACAAATGGAAAAATCGCTGAATTTTTCGTTTCCGTTCTGTAACTTAAGATAGCCTCAACCAAATGTTGTGACACTTATACACAATGCTTATTACCACTAAATACAGATCAAGTTTGAATTTCGGTGGTGTCACTTTTACTGTTCTTCAGTTATGTCCCTTTATAACTTTATATGAAATGCAAAGGGGGCATCATCTGTGTCCCATGGACACATTCCCCATTTATTTTTCATTGGAGCAATCCATGCTAGTCTCAGGATTCCATGGAACCATCTACAAATTAGTTATTTGCCTATTTTTGTTTTATTGTTAGCACCACTTAGTACAATATGAATGTCTCATACATTATGTATGCATTATGCCTGTCAATTTCTTGAATTGCAAATTTTACCAAGTCCTGCTTAAATATAACAAGCCATTGGTGTCAGACTTGTGACTAAATTTGAAGACTGCTGCACATGTTTTGCACACATTTCACAAAATAATATTAAGTGGGTACTGTTCCCTTCCAGTAGACAGTGTAATGTTAAAGAGACTCTATGGTCGGGTTGTTGTCTCTTTGACACATTCCCTATTTCCATTCTCAATTTTATTATATCGTCAGAAATAGTGTCAGGGATACAATTAACTAGCTGGTCCAGAAATAGTGTCAGGGATACAATTAACTAGCTGGTCCAGTAAAATTTGGAAATAATTTTTCACCTCTGGACTTCTTTCCGAAGCTTTATTTTATAATTTATTTTCATGTATGATGTGTTAAATACCTCTTTCTAAAAACACATTTGTTCTTTTAGAGGTTCCAAATACAACATCACCAGGAACATACAGACCTCCACCAAGAACAAAGGAAGTTATAATTAAAGGACAGGTGGTTAAACTTAAGTACTGTTTTACCTGCAAGATCTTTAGGCCACCTAGAGCATCACACTGTAGTTTTTGTGATAATTGTGTTGGTATGTATACAGTTAACCTAATTCCTTAAATATTGTATAGTTGACATAAATTACCCATTTAAATCTTGGTTTTCAAAATAATTAAATGTCAGAATGTCAAGAGAATTTCACTCAAAAGAACAAAAGTTTATAGATATTAGAAATATTTTATATGATCGTGTTTAGGGCCCTTACATAGGCACACATTTCTGGTCATAAAGTGAGGAGTATTAAAATTAATATAACGAAATTAAATAGCATGTAATCAAAGTTGTTAATTGATTTAATGTTTGATGGATAGCTAAGGTATTCTTTATCAACAGGAAAACTAGAACATGAAAATGTGATAGTACTAAATCTGTACATTGTGAGATTCAAGTTTAGGTTTAAGATATTTTACTGTGAAGTTGTCCTATTGACACATATTATTGTTTTAAATTTTATTAAAATCGAAATCCTTTCTTTTCATTCAATAACACATTTCAAATCATCAAACAAAACCTAATCTCAGTGATTTTTGGACGGTGCTTCTTTGCACAGCTTTTTATTTGAAATAATTTAATGAAATGCATGCATGCATGAAGAATCAACAGCTTTGAATCTGATTTATCTTTAGAAATGTCTTTTACACAATTTAAGCATGGGAGACTACAAAATTTCTACTGAAGTTTATGATTTGGCAAAATATAAATCTGAATTGTTTGCAGTTACTTTAATTTGATGGTATATGTTGTAGTAGACATGTTCAGAAATGCAATTTAAATGTAGAATCTGGATTTTTCCAAATAAGGTATCTTAGCTCAGCTGACACAGGTTTTTCAATAAGAGTTTTGGACTTGTCTTAATTAAAAAAAAACTGATAATTGACACAAAATTTCTCTACTTAAAAGAGACAGAAGAAACCAAAGGTATAATCAAAATTCCTAATTGGAAGAGAAACCAACACCATGTAAAAATATAAAAATAAACAAAACCAGGAAGAAAAAAACAACAGTCTACAAAACATTACATAGAAAAATCAAGATACAGAAACACAAACCCAACAAAGAAAGGGTGATCTCAGGTGTTCCAAAAAGGTATGCAGATCCTGCTCAACACATGGCATAAGCTGTGTAATGGATTATATATGTAAAGACAATTGTAGTTATTTTCATATATATGGTAATAATTTATTTTATTTTTTAGAGAGATTTGATCACCATTGTCCATGGGTTGGAAATTGTGTTGGAAGAAGAAACTACAGATATTTTTATTTATTTATCCTCTCATTATCAGTTTTGTGCATCTATATATTTGCTTGTGTTTTAACTCATTTAATATTAAGTAAGTATTTTAAGATGACCCTAAAAATTCTATGTCTAACGTCACTTGGACATGGTACAATCTGAAAGGGAGGGAGGTAATTAAATGACCAACACATCATTCAAATACAGTTTCTTTTCAAACAACATAGTGCAAGGAGGTAAACATTCTTTAGATCCTATCCAGCATGTATCCAGGCAATTTCATGCAATTTATTAATGATATATTATACTCAGATATTCAAGTTACAAAATGGTGTGTATGTGTTTAGTCATGATTGTGAAGAAAACTGTTTTTATGCCCCCTCCGTAGCGGAGAGGGCATTACGTTTTACCCTTGTCCGTCTGTACGTCCATACGTACATCCCAAAGCTGGTTTCCGTTCTCTAACTTTAGTTTGCCTCAACCAAATATTATGAAACTTATACACAATGCTAATTACCACATAATACAGATCAAGTTTGAAATTGGGTGGCGTCACTCGTACCGTTCTTGAGTTATGCCCCTTTATAAACATAAAAATTGCTGAATTTTTCATTTCTGTTCTCTAACTTAAGTTTGCCTCAACTAAATGTTATGAAACCTATAAACAATGCTTATTACCACAAAACTCAGATCAAGTACAAATTTTGGTAGCGTCAATTATACAGTTCTTGAGTTATGTTCCTTTATAACGTTATATACAAGCAGGGGCATCATCTGTGTCCCATGGACACATTCCCCATTAATTTTTTTACATGTTATGAAACTTGGACAGAAGCTAATCTTAAAGACCAAGAAATAGCATCTTAAGGAAAAGATTGAATTTTTTTTTTCATTTATGTATTTTACTGATTAATGAACTCACATTTTAAGTCAACATTACACTTTTACACTGGCAGCAGCAATATCAGCCGAGATGCAGGGTTCCCCGAGACCCCTTACAGATTTTTAAAAACTTTTACCCCATTTTCTGAAGGAAACAAATTCAACCATCAATCCACTTCAGATTAGTCTCAATAAACCATGTGAAACATTTTTAATGACAATTAATTCAGGTAACATTTTTGACAAACCCTCTTTGTCCAGAAATCTAATATATACATTTTTTATTTTGGTCTATTAACTAAAACTTACATGAATGGGTGATGTTAAACATAGAATTTAAATGGCCTAATCTAATGTAAATTTGATACAAAGTTATTCTGGCTTCAAAAATATAGATATATTTTCTGATTGTGTTCACAAAATAAGACTAAGTTCACATATTAAATTGCAAGGTACTCGTGAGGCGCTTGTACCTGTCCATTTTAAAATTAAATGTACCAGTATTATTGTTTCTTTAATGTGTAGTTGATACATGTAATTTGATACTTCATTGCATTTCATTTGATTTTGATGTTGTCCTTTTTTGCATAATTTGTCAAGAATTCTTACTGATTATAAAGTTGTTTTAGCACCACAACAATATGTCATGTACATATTTGTGATAATTCGGAAAGTGAAAAATTTGTGTATTGTATGCAGACTTGCAGTATACACATTACCTTTTAAAAATTATACTTTGGGGAGGAACATCTTAGACCATAAGCAAGATGTTTAAAAATGAACTATACTTATTTACTTTTGATACCTGATTTGTCAAAATATTAAACGAGATAATATTTTACAATATCAATGCATAGGAAATAAACTCATCATAGATACCAGGATTGAAATTTTGTATTTGCGCCAGACGCGCGTTTCGTCTAATAGTTTTAAGAATAAAAATGTATTTGTATTTGAATGCAATTTATGTAAATGTGTTAAGAATAGATGTAATGTAAAGGTGGTGATTTTACACAAATAGCCACTTTCAATGCAGAATTCTTTCTTATATGGTTTTGTTCCACCCAGGATCACTTGTTGTATGATATAATCTGCACCTTCTAAAGATCTTTGTCTTCTAGAAAAAAAAAGCCAGGAAAATGCACACTTTGTAAAAGTGACATAAAATTTTTTTATTTATAATTTCAGGATCAAAAGATGACAATTTCCTGCATGCCATGCGTGATTCACCAGCAAGATATCCTTTTAGATTTTACGATTTTTATTAGATATTTCACCATTATTGAGTTTTGAGTGGTGTATATGTGAAAGGCACATTTGTTTGTATGATCACAGAGCCATGTAATCTGAAATACTATTGATCTAGTTATTTTGTATTTCTATTGTGTGGTATAAATACTAATTAGGGGGAAAAGTCACTTATCATCCTGAAAGAAAATTAGCTAGTTAACATCTATAGTCAAGTAAATGATTCCATATAATCAAAGAATGTGAAACAAACTTCATAATATTTCTTACAGAATCAGATTCATTGGATTTGTATCTTTAACATTTTGATATGGAATACTATTGTCCATACATTCCTCTGTTCCATAAAAAATCTAATTGATTTGATGAAGTCTTGTCTTTTTTTTGTACCATTTTTAGCTCACCTGGCCCGAAGGGCCAAGTGAGCTTTTCTCATCACTTGGCGTCCGTCGTCCGTCGTCCGGCGTCGTCCGTCGTCGGCGTTAACTTTTTACATTTTGAACTTCTTCTAGAGAACCACTGAATGGAATGAAACCAAACATGGCATGAATGTTCCTTATGAGGTGCTGACCAAGTGTTGTTACTTTGTAGCCGATCCATCATCCAAGATGGCCGCCAGTGGGGGACTTAGTTTAACATAGGACCCTATGGGAAATGCATACAAATGACTTCTTTTAGAGAACCACTGAATGGAATGAAACCAAACATGGCATGAATGTTCCTTATGAGGTGCTCACCAAGTGTTGTTACTTTGTAGCCGATCCATCATCCAAGATGGCTGCCAGCGGGGGACTTAGTTTAACATAGGACCCTATGGGAAATGCATACAAATGACTTCTTTTAGAGAACCACTGAATGGAATAAAACCAAACATGGCATGAATGTTCCTTATGAGGTGCTGACCATGTGTTGTTACTTTGTAGCCGATCCATCATACAAGATGGCCGCCATCGGGGAACTTAGTTTAACATAGGACCCTATGGGAAATACATACAAATGTCTTCTTTTAGAGAACCACTGAATGGAATGAAACCAAACATGGCATGAATGTTCCTTATGAGGTGCTGACCAAGTGTTGTTACTTTGTAGCCGATCCATCATCCAAGATGGCCGCCAGCGGGGGACTTAGTTTAACATAGGATCCTATGGGAAATACATAAAAATGTCTTCTTTTAGAGAACCACTGAATGGAATGGAACCAAACATGGCATGAATGTTCCTTATGAGATGCTGACCAAGTGTTGTTACTTTGCAGTCGGTCCATCATCCAAGATGGCCGCCAGCAGGGGACTCAGTTTAACATAGGACCCTATGGGAAATACATACAAATGTCTTCTTTTAGAGAACCACTGAATGGAATGAAACCAAACATGGCATGAATGTCCCTTATGAGGTTCTGACCAAGTGTTGTTACTTTGTAGCCGATCCATCATCCAAGATGGCCGCCAGCGGGGGACTTAGTTTAACATAGGACCCTATGGGAAATACATACAAATGTCTTCTTTTAGAGAACCACTGAATGGAAAGAAACCAAACATGGCATGAATGTTCCTTATGAGGTGCTGACCAAGTGTTGTTACTTTGCAGTCGGTCCATCATCAAAGATGGCCGACAGCAGGGGACTTAGTTTAACAAAGGACCTATGGGAAATACATACAAATGTCTTCTTATAGCGAACCACTGAATGGAATGAAACCAAACATGGCATGAATGCTCCTTATGAGGTACTGACCAAGTGTTGTTACTTTGCAGTCGGTCCATCATCCAAGATGGCCGACAGCAGGGGACTTAGTTTAACAAAGGACCTATGGGAAATACATACAAATGTCATCTTTTAGAGAACCACTGAATGGAATGAAACCAAACATGGCATGAATCTTCCTTATGAGATGCTGACCAAGTGTTGTTACTTTGTAGCCGATCCATCATCCAAGATGGCCGACAGCGGGGGACTTAGTTTAACATAGGACCCTATGGGAAATACATACAATTGTCTTCTTTTAGAGAACCACTGAATGGAATTGAACCAAACATTGCATGAATGTTCCTTATGAGTTGCTGACCAAGTGTTGTTACTTTGCAGTCGATCCATCATCCAAGATGGCCGCTAGGGGGAGGGGGGGCTTAGTTTAACATAGGACCCTATGGGAAATACATACAAATGTCTTCTTTTAGAGTACCACTGAATGGAATGAAACCAAACATGGCATGAATGTTCCTTATGAAGTGCTGACCAAGTGTTGTTACTTTGTTGTCGATTTACTGTTCAAGATGGCCACCAGGATATTTTATTAAATAACGGGACCAATATTAATCAAAATTTGGCCTCAATCATTATTTGGGTATCTGTTATGATTTTTATCTATCTTTACATGATTTCTAAAACCAAAGTAGAGTCAGGTGAGCGACACAGGCTCTTGAGAGCCTCTAGTTTATAAAGACAAACTCAATTTGGTTTATACAAAGAAAAACAATAATTTTGATATAAACTTTTTTATTACAATAAAAGTTAAAAACAACCTGTCATATAATAACTATTGAACTTAAAAAAATAATTTTGCAGTTGTTTGGAAATATGCATATCATATCGTTGCTATGTATTTCAGAGAGGATATTTTTGTCAGATTTGTAGGTGATATATGGATTATTCTGCTAGTATTTATTACATTCTTGACTCCCACCATCATACAATACATTAATGATTCATTTATCATCCTTAACAATCATACCATTGTTGAAGCAATCATCTGTTTCTTCTCTGTCTGGTCAATCATTGGTCTGGCTGGTTTCCATACATACTTGGCTTCTTCAGAACAAACAACCAATGAGGACGTGAGTTTATACCTCATTGGATTGTAGTTGTGGCTTACTATGTGTTGTCTTGTTTTTGTTTTATTTTATATGGAGGTGATTTAAGTTGCTGATTATACATAGCTTATATGATTTGCATACCTTTTCTGTATTATGAGATCATTTATATAGTCATAGATAAGATTATTAGTTAGTAAATCTTTTCTTTTGTTTTTTTTTCTTTGTTTTTTTTTTCTGTTATCTGGATGATTTTACGATATGATTTGCATATGACTTATTTATTCACATTGTTTCCGTCTGACCTATTTGTTCCATTAAATAATGGTACAGCTTTGTCATTTTACATTCAATAAGATAAGTGGCAAATGATAATTAATATCTTAAGTAGATTTATAATTCTAAATATGAAAACTGTTCTTGCAAACTTTGCAGAGTAAAGAATCCTATATGTAAATGTTGTACCTAGCTTATTGGACACTTAACAGATAGCATTACATGTATTATGCACAGTTGTTGATTTTTTTAACTTGAAATTGAATTTCTGATTGAAGATGGCCAGTTTTTATACGACTGCAAAAAACTTTGGCGGTCGTATATTGGTATCACATTGTTGTCGTCGTCTGAAGACACTGGGTTTCCGGACAATAACTTTTGTATTAGTTAATAGAAATCTATGAAACTTAAACACAAGGTTTATAACCACAAAAGGAAGGTTGGGATTGATTTTGGGGGTCATGGTCCTAACAGTTAAGGAATTAGGGGCCAAAAAAGGGGCCAAAAATAAGCATTTTTCTAGTTTTCAGACAATAACTTGTGGAACGGTGTATTGATCTCTCTGAAATTTGTACAACAAGTTTCCATGCCACAAAGGGATGGTTAGAATTGGCTTTGGGGGATAATGGCTCAAACCATTTAGGAATTAGGGGCAAAAAGGGGGAAAACAAGGGTTTCCTTGTTAATGGACAATCTCTTTTAAGTACAATGTTAAATTTGGATTACCTTCCTTACACTGCTTTAAAATTATGTATAAAGAAATTTTGTATTGTCTTGAGGTGATTAGCTGTCAATTTATTTTTAGAAGTTACTGATAAAAATGCTGAATAAAGATATACTATTTTTAGACATGATTATGTATGTCATTTTCTATTTTAAGACTTTTATCATGTATTTAAATGGGTAATTATGGTTGCAAACTCCATTGGAAATTTGAATTGAGATAATGACCATATCTTGAGGGAAAGATTTTTTTTTTTTGGAAAAAAGGGAGGGGGTTGAAAAAAATTGGGGGTGGGGGTTAAAAAGAAATTGTGGGGGGAACAATTTTTTTTTCTCATTACAGATTTCAGAAATTAAAAAGAAAATTTCTTCAAATGTAATTTTTTTTTTTTGTAAAAAAAAAGGGATGGGGTGATAAAAAAAATTTTTGCCAAAAAAAAAGGGGGGGTGAAATTTTTTTTTTGGGGGGGGGGTAAATTTTTTTCGGGGCAATTCGCAACAGCATAGTGTATTGCACAAAAGCAAAAAATTGAATATAAATTCAAATCATAAAACCAATTGACTACAGTTATTCTGTGTCAGAAACCTATTATGTGTCAAACATTTAATTTCAATCCAAATTCAGACCTGTATCAAGCATGAATATTGTGTCCATTTTTGCCCCAACTGTTCAGGGTTGGACCTCTGCGGTCGTATCCAGCTGCGCTCGGCAAAGCAATTTATTGAAATATTGCAAATATCCCTTCAGAAATTATGCTCCAATAGCAGATCTGTTGTTATTGTTCGATATTTGCTCTTCATTATTTGACACTTTTGGATAGCCAATATTAGTTATGAGCACCACTGACGAGAGGTGCATATGGTGCTTCAAAGTAGCTCCTATTTCTTTTTTATTCCCCCCCCTACGATAGTAGTAGGGGCATTATGTTTTCTGATCTGTGCGTCCGCTTGTTTGTCCATTAGTTCGTTCGTCCTTCCGTTCGTCAGTCTGTCCTGTGTCAGGTTAAAGTTTTTGGTCAAGGTAGTTTTTGATGAATTTGAAGTCCAATCAACTTGAAACTTAGTACACATGTTCCCTATGATATGATCTTTCAAATTTTTGACTACATTTTCCTTCTTCATTGTTATGTTTTCTTGATGCCTGTATTAAGACCTTTATCTCAAAGACTTTCAACAAATTATTTAGTTATAATCAATTAAAGTGTTGCAACATTTCAGTAAGTGCAGTCCTAAAGTCATTTACCAACAACAAGTGTCTTTCCTCATCGCTGTACAATATGTATTACATAAGAAAAAAGTTATATGGATAAATTTATAGTTTATAAACTGATTTATGGATGAATAAGTGTATAAAGATGCTGAATGTTTATAGTTTTTCAGTATAAATGTACATTCCTTAACCAAACGTACTGTTATTGAGGGTATTATATGTTTCTTTGCTGTGTGGTCTGTTGTTGGTCTTGCTGGTTTTCATACTTATCTCGCATCATCTGAGCAGACAACCAATGAGGATGTGAGTACATCAGATATCTTGATGCATGGTGTTACTTTCCATTGTGTCAATGGTAACCTATGCCCTATCACTGTTAAAATCACATCTAATTGATATTAATTTTCACATTGGTTTGCTTAATACACATGCATGTCACTTGACATTTAAAGTGTTATTGTATAGACTGAATATTGAATGATATTTGTCTGTTGGTTGGAAAATTATGCTTATTCTTTATTTTTGATACATTTTGTTTTATTTCTTTTGCATGATTATTGTTTTCCTTAACTCTGACACTGTGATAGAAGCTATTGTATGCTTCTTTTCTGTGTGGTCAGTTATTGGCCTAGCAGGCTTCCACACATATCTAGTTGGTTCTGATCAAACCACAAATGAAGATGTAAGTTTGTATTTTATCAAAGGACATGCCTTAAAACACCAATAACTTGCACTGTAAATAAGATTTAATTGATTTTTGTTGTTATATCTCTTAAGTTGAAATTTATATTTTTGATACTTCCTTATTCTTATATTCAAGTGCCAAAAAATTTGTTAAACTGATATATGGAGGAAGTTCAGACATGAACCTAAAAAGCAGTAACACCTGAGTTGCATCGGATAGAAATCGATCTTATGCAAGTGCACATAAGGCTTTAATTGATTTTGGAACATTTGAATACGAAATGAAAGACGAATTTTGGTCTGTTTTGTAGGGTTTTTTAAGTCAATTTTCAGACAGTTACAGTCTTTTGCATAGGGATTTTTTAACCCAAAATAGGATAACAGATGTATTGATATTCATTTGCACAAGTTTGATTTCTATCTGATGCAGCTCACAGAAAATAAAGTAATTAGAACTAAATCTGTTCAACTAATAAATTTAAGTTGTCTTGGTGGGATTTTGCATTTGCTTCAATAATTTATGTTTATTGTTGCCTTGTATTACAATACCTTGCAAATACTCAACCAAGTAGACTTATGCGACACTTTTGCTAAATTTATTACTAAGGATATATAACGTAACTAAAAAGGGAAGAATACATGCAATTCATGAAATAACATATAATTAGGGCCCCGCCAAATGGCGGACACCCTATAGTGATCAGTCTGTCTGTCCGTTCGTCCGTCCGTCCGTAACGAATTGTGTCCGCTCTATATCTAGAGAACCGTTATGATTTCAAAGTTTATACTTGACATGTAAATTAACAAACACCAGATGGTGTGTCATAATGTATGTACAACGTCCTAGGTCAAAGGTCAAGGTCAAAAACTTTGGTTTTAATTGACAACCCCATGTCCTATGGTAAAGACAGTGTCCACTCTATATCCTGAGAACAGTTATGATTTCAAAGTTTATACTTGACATGTATATAAACCAACACCAGAGGGTGTGTCATAATGTATGTACAACTTCATAGGTCAAAGGTCAAGGTCAAAAACTTTGGATTTAATTGACAACCCAATGTCCTATGGTAAAGATCGTGTCCGCTCTATATCTTGAGAACCGTTAATGATTTCAAAGTTTATACTTGACATGTATAAAAACCAACACCAGAGGGTGTGTCATAATTTATGTACAATTTCCTAGGTCAAAGGTCAAGGTCATAAACTTCGGTTTCAGTTAACAACCCCAGCCAATGATAAAGATACAAATTTTTTACCACACATTATTCACAGCGGGGCCCACAGAGATGGCTCCCATCTCAATGATATTTAGTTTACTCTGATTTAACCATTACAATAGGAGTCTAGTGATTCTATCATCACAAAGAATCCAAATCTTAGGTGTGTCTCATTAGCCAAAATCACTGTACATCAAAATATTTTATAAAGGCTGGAATACATAACTTGATTATTCAATAGATTATAAGGTTTAAACTTTCCCCACAGAGGTAAATGATATAGAAAAAGATTTTTTTTTTCAGCTTGGAACTTACTAATAGAAATTTCTTCAAATGTATTGCTTTCTCCTTCAGATTAAAGGATCTTATTCAGCAAAAAGGGGCCAAGAAAATTTTAATCCATTTAGTCAAGGATCTATATTGAGAAATTGCTTAGTAGTATTATGTGGACCAACACCACCAAGGTAAACTAGATCAGTATTATTTACATATTAACTGGTTACTGTGTGTAAACAGTATACATTTAAAGTGAAAGATATGTTACCAAATTCAAAATTGTGCTTTGTTTATAGACCAAATAAAAGAAATATGTTAACATACCTTTTAAGCTGCTTTTCTCATCATTTGGCATCATCTCTGTCATCTTCTGTTTACCTTTACAAAAATCTTTGAAACTACTGGGCCACATGTAAAAAAACTTCGAGCCACAATCATTATAAGGGTATCTAGTTTTAAAAATGTGTCCGATGATCCTGCATGCTAACAAACATGGCCGGCATAGCTAATTATAGAAAAAAAAAACCTATATATAGAGAAAGTCTGACAGGGGCAGAAATGTTCTTAATTACCTACTATCCATTTACATCAAAACTATCAGATGACTACTTATAGTTATAGGAATTAAATGATGAATGGGCTTCCTTTTTTGTGTTTTGGGCAAAAACTAAAGATAGAGGGAAACTGTAAACAGAAAAAAGGATCAGCAATACAAGATCAACAAAAAAGCGATTTTTGTCATGAATTCTATTCTAGTCTACAATATTTGAGAGAGACTATTGTTGAAGATGCACATAGACCTAGGTGAGCAACACAGTTCTCTTTGAAGTCTCTAGATAAAGTGGCTATCAAACTGACAGTCTCCCTGGTTTCATTGTTATGGGCTCTCCTTGAGTAGGGGATGTCAAGGATTTAATCCTCCCAATGTCAAACCAGAGACATTTAAATTATCATTTGCAACTTGTTCTCTTATCATTCTGCATTTAAGAATTGAATGCTTCTTTTTGTAAATTTATTGGGGTGTCAAAGTGTTGACTGAAGTATTTTGTATGAAGTGCAGAAGCGCTTCATTCTAAAAATGTACACACAGTCAACGCTTTTACAACCGTATAAAATTACTAAAAGAAGCATTCAATACTTATAATTACATTTTTTTGCTTGGATCATGAAAACAAGATTTCTTTCAAGTTTTACTTTTATTTACCTGTTCACTAATGGGGAAGCTTGTGTCATCATGAATGTTACATTTCATTTTGAAATGAAGGTTAATTTCAGAATCACGCGAGATTGCTGTTATCCAATCAAAATAACGTATCATAATGAAACATACATGTAATGTAATTATTAAGGGGTATGTGCAAAGAATTTATGATTATGGTTAACCACTAGTGGTAGGTCAATGATATTTGGTATGCAGTTGAATTAGCATTGGAACATTTCATTTCCATGGAAATTATTTGGCCCCAACTCCTTAAGTCTTGGTCTATTGACTTTGAATCTTTTGCTTAGTTTACATGTATTAGTTTGTGATTAGGTCAGCTTATGGAGAACAATTAGTGGTAGGTCAATGATAGTTGGTATGCAGTTGTATAAGCATTAGCACATCTCATTTCCATGGTGAATATTTGGTCCTTACCCCTCAGTCATCATCTATTGACTTTTGCTAAGTTCACATGTATTAGTTTTGTGATTAGATAAGTTTAAGATGAACCACTTATGTTAAGTCAATGATATTTGATATGCAAATGTATATGAAAATAATATAAAACTTATTGTATATGGTTTTATTTTTTTTATTTATCAAGTTTTTTAGTCCACTACCACTCAAAGAAAGAATAAAATATTTTTTTAAATTATGCATGCCAGCTCTTTAAATCTTACCATGAGTGATTTGAATCATTTGATTTTTATATCAATGATACTATATAATAAAATATTGATAATGGTCTTATTTTACAGTTTGATAGATAGACGAGGTTTTGTAGTCCCAGAATGTAGTCCCATACATGATGGAACGCTTGCATCTTCTGGTAAAGAATCAAATGCAGTTAAGATCCGACATGAAAACTATGGATCTACAACTCATTATAAGGTAATTACTAGTTATGAGCTTGCCTAAATGCTTCATTTATCCTGCTACTTGAGTGATAAACATGGAGTAAATCTGAAATGTGAAAAATATGCACTAAAATGTTAACTAGGTCTGCCAATCAGAACAATCCTCCATTTCTAATTAGCAAGAGAATAATAATCTATGAGTTATAATGTTGTGGAAAAAGGATTTAAACAATCACAAGCTATTTCAGTTTTGACAGTACATGAGGAAAAAAATGTTGCAAGACTAGCAATATTTACTGAAGGTATCTGCTAATTCAAAATAAGCATGTAACATGACCTTTTTTCGCACTGTCTTTATTTCACGATTTCCTTACTGATACCAAATTCATGCCATCTTGAATTTGCTATTCATAGGAGTCCTGCACAAATTTAAGTGAATGATTTTAAAACAGTACAGAAAGTACATGTATCGTAAAGCAAGTGCTGAAAATCCACCAAAAAACCTTTTTGTTTAGTTTTTGTTGGTTCATTAATGTACATGTACATGTAGATTTCAAGTTAATTGACTTATGATAAGCATGGTTAAACCACTACATTTATGCTTGCTTTTAAAAACACATACACAATGGACATAAAGAATAGGTTTACTATGAGCACATAAGAAACTGTGAGGATTGCAGCTAATTAATCAATCTTTTGATCATATTAATCAGTGTAGCAAATACAATGTTGTAATCATTTAAAAATGATTGAAGGTGTCATTTACTTTACTGTCATGAGTGTTTTTTATATAACAATATCAATAGTTTCCTCTTGCTTAAAATATATTTTATTTTAATTTTACTGTCATGAGTTAAAAATTAAATTTCTAAACCTGCCTTTCATTTAGAATTGAATTGTAATGTGTGATATAATCTGCTTCTGAAAAATTGTTGTTATAAATTGGCCCTGTACATAATCCTATTTGTATACTTTCATGGATGGTCTTCATTCTTTGAAGCAGTTTTCCTTGGAAATTTTATGCTGAAATTTCATTTTCGTGTTTCGAAAAATAAAACTACTGAGAAAATTTCCCGTTTACAGTAATATAAACTTAATGCACAGGTGCCAACCATTATGATTTTTCCGTAATTGTTTTGAATTTTGGATTAAAATTACAGTGTTAGGATTAACAGTCTATGTGTTACAGATTTTCTTTCATTACTGGTCAAGGAACAGTTTCCTGTTTAGATATCATATTGATCATTGTGACGCTTCATTTTTGGTTATAATTGTGTAACAATAGCATAAGATAAGGGTTACCAATTTCTATAATTTAATTCTGATTAAACATATATTTCACAGATAAATTGCAACATTCAGACAATAATGAATCATATTATTTCTTAAACAGGCAGATTTTGTTAAAAAGTAACATCTTTGACTATTTGACTGAATTCTTTAAATGTATGCAATAAGATGATTATAGTAATGTTAACATATTCTCTTACTGATTTATACTCTCCCGGACTGGTTCATAATCATGTGGTTTGTTCAATCTTGGTAGTTCATTGGTTAAAATTCAATTATGGTGTAAAAATATCTCCTCCCTTCTGAATTGGCAGAACATTGGAAAAGAAAAAATAAAGTTTGTCTAATTATTTATTTCTCAGTGTTTGATTCCTTATAATTAAACCCAGCAAGTCTTTATTTTTAATTTATCTGATGGAATACTTGAATTTCTACAGTAAGGAAAGAAAACATGGACAATGAAATTGGAACATTATGCCTTTTTTCAGCGTGAAGGTCGGTGTTCTTCACTTGTTCATCAACTTTGAATCGTAGTTATAACTAATAAAGGAATTCAATTAATTGTCACTGTGTTCCTAGTTGTTAGTATGATTGTTATGAAATTTAATGAAAAAAAATATGATTACTGAAAAAAAATCATAAATTACGAAAATCTTCACACTTTTTAGCTCACCTGGCCCAAAGGACCAATTGAGCATTTTTATCACTTGACGTCCGTCATCGTTAACTTTTACAAAAATCTTTTTCTCTGAAACTACTGATCCAAATTTAACAAAACTTGGCAACAATCATCATTAGGGTATCTAGTTTAAAAAATGTGTCCGATGAACGCGCCTACCAACCAAGATGGCTGACATGGCTAAAAATAGAACATAGGGGTAAAATGCATTGTATTGTCAATCTTGTAAACCACTATATATAGAGAAAATCTGACAAGGGCAAAAATGTTTGGAATGAAATCTACCTAGTGTCCATTTACTTCCAAACTTGTCAGAAAACTTTTTATAGGAGTTATTGCCCTTAAATGACGAATGTTACCAACTTTTTAAATTTTTGCCTATTATCTTGAAAGTTATATTAGATAAAGAGAAACTTTATCAAGCAGAAATGATCAGTAAGATAAGTTCTACAAATAAGTCAACATGGATGAAATCAACTGATGACCCCTTTATTGGAGTTATTGCTCTTTAATGGTTATTTTTACTAATTTTTTGCATTTTTGCCTTATTTCTGAAAAAAGTATGATAGATAGTTAGAAACTTAAATAGGCAAAAATGGTCAGCAAGACAAGATCTACAAATAAGTCAACATGGTTTAATCGTCTAATGACCCCTTATTGGAGTTGTTCTTAAAAATGATTTTAGGCATGCAATTTCTGGCAGCGGCAGAGTCAATAATGTATAAGTTTGTAATTAGGTCAGTTGAAGGAGAGTCATTAGTATTAGTTCAATGATATATGGTATGCAGTAGTATAGCTGGGGACTCCAGCTTCCTCCAACAATATAAAACCGGCGTCACGATATAGCAAATTGTGCTGAAAGTGGCATTAAGCACCTAAAAATCAATCAGTTGTATTAGCATTTGCAAATTTCATTACCATGGAGATTATGTGGCCACTTCTCCCTGCATCATGGTTCATTAACTTTGAAACTTTTGCAAAGTTGACATGTTAAAGATTGTGTTTAGGTCAGTCAATCTAAAGTCAGTTCAAAGGGAAACACTTATATAGGATAAGTCAATGCTATTAGGTATGCACTTGTATTAGCATTGGCAGTTCTCATGTCCAGGGATTATTTGACGATGGACCTTCAGTCATGGTTCATTGACATTGAATGTTTTGCATAGTTTGCATGTTAGCATATTACCATTTCAATTTTAATATATGCATTATACTATCATATTTACATAAAGGCAAGACATCTCTGTGTAAACATTTTATCTTTATTTGTATAAATTTGTTTACAACTGACATAAAAGCATTTAATATGAGGGATAATGTTGTCATTTTTATATTGTTAGAAAACTAAACAATAGATAATTGCTCAATAAAAAAGGAAACAGTAATGTATTGCTTAGTTAGATATGTGTAAAACAAATGAGTTAAAAAAATGTGAGTATGGTAGATGATGGATGTATGACATGACATTCTATTTATTTGTAGAACTCTAGTAATATTGGAACAAATACAGCTGGGGATCCAGTAGTTGTTTCTAATGGCAACCTTCCTGTTACCAAGCATGATATGATAAGTTATCAAACTTCTGATGGCACAGTAAACAACCATCTTCCAACAGTCAACGGTAAGTCTGACACACAATGTTCAGGATTGGTTAGGCTATGCATCTTGATTATTATCTATATTCCATATTTTGACTTGGGTATATCACTTATCATGGGTTTTGTCCAACCACAAATTTTATGATGATCAATATACACTTTAGATGTCTCTTTGAACTATATATGCTCTACCTTTTGTAAATGCAGTAATGCATATATCTACGCCCCCACCGTAGCAGAGGGGCATTAAGATTTACCCTTGTCCCTCTATACGTTCATCCGTACATCCCGAAATTGGTTTCCGTTCTATAACTTTAATTTGCCTCAACCAAATGTTATGAAACATATACACAATGCTTATTACCACAAAACACAGATCAAGTTTGAATTTTGGTGGCTTCACTTTTATTGTTCTAGAGTTCTGTCCCTTTTCAGTTTGAAAAATTGCTGAATTTTTTGTTTCCTTTCTCTAACTTAAGCTTGTCTCAACCAAATGTTATGAAACTTATACGCAATGCTTATTATCACAAAACTCAGATCAAGTATGAATTTGGGTAGCGTTACTTTTATCGTTCTTTTGAGTTATGTCCCTTTATAACGTTGTATGCAAGCTGGGGCATCATCTGTGTCCCATGGACACATTCCCCATTTATTTCATTTTAAAACACATCCTATATTGATAATCTGAAACATACTTAAATGAATTTTTTTTTTTTGAATACACACTGATTTTGCTGATTTATGCATGTAAATCAACAAAACTAGAAATGTACTAAACAAAAATTTTGCTAAAGAATATGGATGTTTTATATAGCAGAAATGAGCAATACCAACATGACCAAAGAAGTGTCATATCACTAAGACAAATTCCTTTTGTATTCCTACCTGCATAAAGAATGTTAGGATTCCATGTAGTTAAAAAGTACTTGCATGAAAGTATTGTGCCCTGTTTTTGTTTTTTGTTTTTGTGTCTCTATATCTGTATCTGTATATTAAAACTTCTACTTTTACACATTGAAATTTGTTTTTTTTTTTATTAGACATTTTGTTTTCATGCCAAAAAAATAAGGCTATTGCCAAAATTTTTTTTTTTTTTAATTGAAATTTATTTGCTGTCAGCAATCAATTCATTATAAAATTTTTAAAAAAAATATTTCAAGAGCAACATAAATAGGATATGTGTATGTCTGACATTCAGATATCTGTTGTGTTGATGTATAAAGACATGTTAGCAAGAATTATGTTAGATCATATATTTGTGCTAAGACCTAACTTACATCTGGAAAAATGAAAACTTCAGTTGTGATCTTAGGATTTAAAATTCTAGAGCTGCAAGTCTTCTTCAAATATCACTTTACTAATAAGAAATATGTGACTTTTAACTTTTTCTTTGGGCTTTCAATAAAATCAGGAGGGAAAAAATCCTTGTGGAATATGACATTGACCCAGTTAAACTACCCAGGTAAGTTAGGCATGTCGTAAAGCATGGGGGTTTAATTAGTTTTTTTATGTTTGCTTATCATCAAGATACTTTTGGTTCTTATTATATCAGAAGTTATGAAAGGCTTATTATGTTAAAGCCATTAATTTGAGAATTAGGTATCATAGATGTTAGTATCTTCTTAATTACAGTTAACTCTCGCTGCCTCAAACTCGGTTGACTCGAAATTTCGGATGAGTCGAAGTTTTCTCGTGGTCTTCTAAAATCTCTTATATACGAGAATGAACAATTTTGTCTACTTAAAATAACGATCCATTGGAAATTACTGTTCCGGCTAAAAAACACAGGAAAAAATTGTAACAGTACAAAGAAATAAATAAGAGACGAAAACATAAAATTTTATTATAATAATAAAAGACCATAACATACAGATTCATCGATCTGAAACCAGAATATCGTCCCCCCCTACCCATTGTCATCCCGATTTATTTTAGCTTTACCAAGCTGACCAAAAGTTGTGTCCCTAGGTCTTTCAAACTTCCGGTTTTCGGTTGAGTAGAACTACAGGTTGGAAATATTGCTCTGGTCAGGCTGACTTTGAGATACTGAGAGTCAACTGTATTATCATCCTGAAGTACATTTCTAATCAGAAAAGAAAATCTTTAAAAGAATTACAGATAATTTGAATTGTGCTTTTTATGCTTGTCCAAAAATGAGGAAGAGCATAAAATTATACTGTTATTCTTATTTGTCTCCTTCGGTTAAATTTACATTATATCACATCTCAAAAACCATATTTGGTATTTCAATGATTGACCATGGAATAAACACTAATAAACAGTTCATATTTACTATAAAATCATTTTTTTGTTTGGGTGACTTTGGTTAAGTTAATTTTAGTGATACCCATAATAATATACTGTGTCTGTGATATTTCACTTTTTTAAACATCTACATGTGTGAAATTTTATATATTTCTCAAATTTTTGCATGACAATATCTATCATTTAATGCTCCAGGGATGAGTTTGATTTTGGACTTTATTTTATTCCTTAGTTTTTGTCGAGCCTGCAACTATTGTCGCAGAAAGCTCGACATAGGGATAGTGATCCGGCGGCAGTGTTAACTAACTTCTTAAAAGCTTAATATTTCAGAAGGTAGAAGACCTGGATGCTTCATACAATATATATAGATGCCTTATGATATGAAGTTTCCTCCTGTCATATGTTCATTGTCCTTGACCTCATTTTCATGGTTCAGTGACTACTTGAAAAAAAAATTCAGATTTTTTGTTATGTTAATTTCCCTCTTATTCATGTTATTATGAGTAAGAGGATAACTATATTTTTTTATGTGCATACCTTGCAAGGTCCTCATGCCTGTCAGACAGTTTTCACTTGACTTCGACCTCATTTCATGGATCAGAGAACAAGGTTAAGTTTTCGTGGTCAAGTCCATATCTCAGATACTATAAGCAATAGGTCTATACTTGGTGTATGTAATGATTGTAAGGTGTACATGTCCAACTGGCAGGTTTTATTTGACCTTGACCTTATTTTCACGGTTCATTGCTCAATGTTAAATTTATTGTATTTTGGTCTGTTTTTCTAATACTGTATGCAAAAGGTCAACTATATTTGGTGTATGGGAATATTTTACGATGTATGTGTCAGTCTGGCAGGTTTTATTTCACCTTGACCTCATTTTCATGGTTCATTGCTTATGTTAAGTTTTTGTGTTTTGGTCTTAAACTTTAAGCAATAGGTCAACTATATTTGGTGTATGGAATGATTGTAAGGTGTATATGTCTGTCTTGCAGGTATCATCTGACCTTCACCTCATTTTCATGGTTGATTGGTCAATGTTCAGTTTTCCTGGTTAACTTTGTTTCTCAGATACTTAAAGCAATAGGTCAACTATATTTGATGCATGGAATGATTTCAAGGTGTACATGTCTGTCTGGCAGGGTTCATCTGACCTTGACTTCATTTTCATGGTTCATTGGCCAGTATAGAATTTTCCATGGTTTGGTTTGTTTCTTTTATACTATAAGCAATAGGTCATCTATATTCTGTGTATGGAATGATTGTATTAAAGGTGTACATGTATTTCTGGCTTGGTTTATCTGACCTTGACCTCATTTTTTTGGATCATAAATGTTAATGTGATACTTGTAGTAAAACTTTATATGTAGGACTATCATCATAAAATCAATGGTCAGTATAGTAGGTGAGACATTTCAGCATGTGCACTCTTGTGTTAAATGATTTGTTGAATACAGTTTCTAAGGTATTTATGAACAAAACCTATGAAATTCACTTGTTTAAATTGATTTACAATAGTTTATAAAAATGTGTTATGAATCAAAGCACAGCAAAAGGGGAAGATGCACAGAAATATATTGGAATATTTATTGGACATATAATGGTATACCCTGTCGTCTTCATCGTCCAAAAACATTTGGTTTTCAGACAATAACTTGAGTATAAGTGTTTGGATTTATATGAAATTGTTCCATACCACATAAGGAAGGTTGGAATAGATTTTGGGGGTTATGGTCCAAACTGTTTAGGAATTAGGGGCCAAAAAACAATGATTTTCTTTTTTCTGGACAATAACTTGAGTATAAGTCTATGGATCTCTATGAAATTGTACCACAAGGTTCCATACCAAAAAAGGAAGGTTGGGATTGGTTTTGGGGATTATGACTCTAACTGTTTAGGAAAATATATAAGGGCCTTAAACAATGGTTTTCTAATACTTTGTATAAATTGCTCATTTCTTGACCAATTTCAATGGGGTTTAATTCAAAGTCTTGAATTCCTGGAGTTTTTTTAATATGATGAATCTGATTGTGTATTTAGATTTGGATTTTGGACCTCCATTTTTAAATTGGTCCACATTGAGGTCCAAAGGGTCCAAAAATTAAACTTTGTTTGGTTTCAACAAAAAATGAATATAGGGAGTTCTTTGATATGCTGAATCTAATCGTGTATTTAGCTTTTAGATTCTGGGGCCCCATTTTTAAATTTGTCCACATTGAGGTCCAAATGGTCTAAAATAAACTATTTCTGATTTCATAAAAAGAATTCTTAGGGTTCTTTGATATGCTGAATCTAACTGTGTATTTAGATTTTTAATCTTGGGCACAGTTTTCAAATTGGTCCACATTAAGGTCCAAAGGGACCAAAATTAAAATTGGTTTGATTTTAACAAAATGTGAATTCTGTTTGTCAAAATCTGGGTCCAAAATTAAACTTTGTTTGATTTCAACAAAAATTGATTATATGGGGTTCTTTGGTATTCTGAATCTAACCGTGGATTAAATTTTGGATTTTGGGCCCAGTGATCAAATTGTTCCACATTGAGGTCCAAAGGGTCCAAAATTAAACTTTGTTTCACTTCATCAAAAATTGAATTCTTGGGGTTCTTAAATATCCTGAATCTTACCATGTATATATTTTGGATATTAGACCATAAAAGGTTAACGTCCAATTTCAAATTGTTAAGTTCTTAGAGCTGTATCAAGCTTGCATGTTGTGTCCATACTTGCCCCAACTGTTCAGGGTTTGACTTCAATGGTCATATCAACCTGCACCCTGCAGAGCATTTAATTCAATATAATATTTAGGAATATTTATTAAGAGTTTGTAATTGTTAGGATGTCATTGTTTTATACTTTTAACTTTTAAATATTAGAATAAAGCATAAATTCCAATTGCATAATTGTAAAAAAAATACATTTTAAAAATTATGTGCATGAAAATGTTGAGCTGATTTTTCTTTTATAACTATTTTTATACGACCGCAAAAAAATTTTTGTGGTCGTATATTGGTATGACGTTGGCGGCGTCGTCGTCGTCGTCGTCGTCGTCCGAATACACATTAGTTTTCGCACTCTAACTTTAGTTTAAGTGAATGGATCTCAATGAAATTTTACCATAAGGTTCAATACCACAAAAGGAAGGTGGGGATTGATTTTGGGGGTTATGGTACTAACAGTTAAGGAATTAGGGGCCAAAAATAAGCATTTTTGTAACTTCCAGACATAACTTGTGTGTAAGTATATGGATCTCTCTGACATTGTACCACAAGGTTCCATATCACAAAGGGAATGCTGGGATTGATTTTGGGGGTAATTGCCTCCAAATTTTAGGAATTAGGGGCCAAAAAGGGGCAAAAAAACAAGCATTTTTCTAGTTTCATGACAATAACTTGTGTGTAAGTGTATGGATCTCTCTGACATTGTATCACAAGGTTCCATATCACAAAGGGAATACTGGGATTGATTTTTGGGGGTAATTTCCTCCAAATTTTGGGAATTAGGGGCCAAAAAGGGGCAAAAAACAAGCATTTTTCTAGTTTCAGGACAATAACTTGTTTGTAAGTGTATGGATCTTTATGAAATTGTACTGCAAGGTTCCATATCACAAAGGGAAAGCTGGGTTGGAGTTTGGGGGTAATTGCCCTAAACGTTTAGGAATTAGGGGCCAAAAAGGGACAAAAAAACAAGCATTTTTCTAGTTTCCAGACAATAACTTGTGTTCAAGTGAATGGATCTCTCTAAAATTGTACTGCAAGGTACCATACCACAAAGGGAAAGCTGGGATTGAGTGTGGGGGCGATGAATCATAAGGGGGTTCAAAAATTTGGGGGGGGATTTTTTTTTCCTTTTTTTTCTTTAAAATTTTCCATTTTAAATTGGTTATTTCTGATTTATATATAAAAGCAAATAATAATGATATGGTTTGAATAGCATACATGTGAACCTCCCGACAGGAGTACAATAATCCTGTTTTCAGGAGTCTCCTCCCGACCTCCGGTTGAAGAGGAAAATTATAATCCCGTGTATGAAATTTTTCATGAATGAAAAATTTCTGCCCAACATATCATCTCAGGCATCTGGTGTAACTCACATTACCTGAAGTTATATTTTACCTGTAAATCAATTAACATGCATAATTATATGGCTTCACTTGTCAGCTTGGGTGTCAAACATACTGGTAATCAATGATTTTTTA